ATCTAGATATGTTAATCATTAAATATACTTGTATATTTAAGGATTAGTTCACAAATATACACTCTGTTGCAAAAGAATGTATGCACCCAGAAGAAATCGAGACACAATCACGAAACTCGGTATGAATGTAGACTAGTAAGACATATGCAAATGATTAAAAATTCAGAACAAAAGATCGTTTTATTGAGAAGTTATGGCATGAAAAACGTTACAAATCAGTATGTAGTAAAGCCACCTCTGGCAGTTATAGAAGCCGAAACACGGCGTGGCATTGAATCAATTAGGTCACATATGATCCGTTGTGGAAGATCATGCCATAATCTTTGCAACTGGGCAGTTAATTCACTTGTATCACTCGACGGCTGCATTTGCCTTCCCAACACGTCCCAGACGTGCTGTATTGGCGAGAGGTCTGGTGACCTGGCAGGCCATGGAAGTACATTATATCCTTGATGACATTGTTGGGAGAGTCTTGCAGTATGTGGACGAGCGTTGTCCTGCTGATAAATGGCACCTGGGCGACTTGAGAATAGGCAGTACAACCGGCGTGAAAATGCTATCCACGTAACTGCGAGCTGTCACGTTGCCGTGAAGAACGACTAGATGTGATCGTGTGTCATAACAAATCGCTCCCCACACTGTCACACCTTGTGTAATCGCTGTATGCCGCTTGACAACAAATGCCGGATCGGACCGCTGGTCGAACCGTCTCCACACGCGTGTTCGGTGGTCACCAGCACTGAGACTGAATCGGGATTCATCGCTGAAGACCACACGCCTCCAGTCGGTCACATTCCAACTTGCCCGAGGTCGGCAAAAATCCTATGATGTGGGGTCAGTGCCTATGATGTGGGGTCAGTGGTAAGCGTCTTATTCTATTTTATTCTTCTTCTTCTCAGATGGTGTTTATATAGAGATTAGCTCAATATAGGCTCCTTCTCCGACAAGACATGTAATTCTGATCGCTATGCGACCGATTAGCCAGCCGTATATCGAACGGCCTATACGCGCGCGCGGAAAATAATGCCTACCGGAAGGACTTTTATGGGGAACTGGCCTCCTATTCAGTCGTTATTGGCAAGGAGAAAACCCGGAAAACTCCAAGCAGCAAGCCTGTCCGATCGCGGCGCGAACCCACGACCGAACTTCCCAGTCGTCTCCTAATAGTTTTCGTTGATGCCACCGGATGCCTGGAAGGTGGTAAATGGTGTCGAATCGATGATAGCGATGTTGTTGGTGCGGACGTTGCCGCTCTTCTGATTGCGCGATCCTCGCGCTCATTTGTGTTTTTGGGACGTCCTGACTTTCCGCGATGGTAGACTCTCCCTTCTGTTATCCACTGTTGCCAACAACGAGCAACTACCATATCGCTCCGACCGAGGTGGCTGCCGATACGCCTGTTCGACCAACCGGCTTCTCTGAGGCCTACTATACGGCCCCTTTCAAACTCTGTCAACTGATTGTACTGCCGCCTGTTATGTCTCAGAGGCATCTCTATTCACAATACTATCCATCCAAGTCGACAGATTCGTTTACATAGCCCTACGGCGCGAGCACTCGTGCTTTTAAACTCTTCCAGCTGCGCATCTCATATGCTCGTACCGCCCTTAGCCTTGTCTCATTAGCGTCGAAATTATAATCATTTGCATATCTCTTACCAGACTACATTCGTACTGAGTTTCGCGATTGTGGCTCGATTTCTTCTGAGTGCATACATTTTTTTGTGATAGATTGTATTATATATACTTGTGGCTCAAAACTCCATGACTTCTTCCAAAGTGGCTCAATGGAACAAAAAGGTTGGATACCCCTGAACTAGAAAAAAAAATCAAAAAGGCTTATAAAAAAGACAAAAATAATTATATCGACAATATATCCAATGAAATTGAAGCACACGCAAATAATAAGAAGATTCCTGAACTATACAATAATGTTAGATGTATAAGATATAATAAAAGAGTTCAAATCACGTACACACATAATTAAAAATAATGAAAATAAAATCATAACTGATGCAGAAGGGATTGCGGATGTCTACAGGAAGTAGTGTGTGAAACTTTATAAAGACACTGGACAAACAAATGGTAATAGTCAACTTCAGAATGGATGGACAAGGGAAATTGAACCATCTGTTCTTAAATAAAAGGTAGAAAAGTCATAAATATTAAGAAATCACAAAGCTCCGGGACCTGACAACCAAACCTCCGAAATTTTAAAAGCAATGGGAGAAGTGGGTGTTGACATATTTCATAAAATCAGCTCCCTAATTTGGAAATCTGAGAGATAACCAGAGAAATAGTGTAAATCAATATTTATTCTAATTTATAATAGGTGCACCAACAGACTGTAGTAACAACAGTAATATCAGCCTAATTAACCATGCCAGTAAAGTAATGTTCCAAATAATTAATAACCGTTTGAAACACTTTCTATCCAGAACATGAGAGTCCCGCGCCATCTTGTTTCGATGATAAAAAACTTATATAAGAATAACTTTGCAAAAGTAAGAGTCAACAAAACTATGTCTAATACATTTACATCTGAGGGCGGTGTAAGACAGGAATGTACTCTTTCCCCTCTACTCTTTAATGCTTATCATGAAATAATCATGAAAATGGTATTAGATAACTGGGATGGAGGCATCTCCATCGGGTAGCCGTAAACTTAAAATCCTCATTTACGCTGACAATAAATTTATTACAGCATCTAGTGAACAAGAATTTGAGTATATTAAGAAACGTTTTAAAACTGAAAGCAGGAAATGTAGATTGCTGATTTATGGAAGTAAAACGAGTTATGATAATTAATCGTTCCTTAACACAGATTTAAAAAATGGCAGTCTATAAGGCGGTGAATAAATCTGTTTACCTTGGATCACTTCTTACCAATAAAGTAGAATGCGACGATGAAATTAATCACAAAATTTGCCTCGCTAGCAGTGCAACCTCTAAATTATTTAGAATTTGGAAAGATTTCGCAATCACTACATTTAATAAACTAAAGCTCATAAGAACGCTTATTTTTCCGGTTGCCAGCTTTGTAGAGCCGAAACTAAGGTATGGCCAATACGTCCCTGCCATATATGCCGATTTAATAAAGGGGCCAATGAGAAGATTTAGAAATAATTGTATTCGAAATTAGTATCACAAAAATCTTTTATATTTATATTTATATAGTATTTAAATGGCATTAAATAATTTTTTATAATAACATGTTTTTAGAATAAAATTATTTTTTTAATAATAAAAATTAAAAAGGTGCCATTTTTATTCTTTGCCATAGGCGTCCAAAATCCTAGTTACGGCTCTTCACTTATGCCACAGAAACCTGGATCATAAATGACACTTCTCGGAAGAAACTTGATTCCTTTGAAACATGGACATATAGCAGAATGCTGAGAATCTCTTGGACAGAACACCGAACAAATTGCTCCATCCTAAATCAACTAAAAATCACAACACGCCTTACCACTAAAATATATAAATTTTACATTCCTTCTTGGAACATATTTCCAAATAAAAAATTAATTTGAGAAACAAATTCTAGAAGGAAGACTAATGGTAAACGCCGTAGAAGCTGATATCAGATTAGGTAGGCAGATCGAGTAATAATAATTACAGGACATACAATGTACAAAGCCATCCATATGGCCCAACACCGGGANCATTTACATCTGAGGGCGGTGTAAGACAGGAATGTACTCTTTCCCCTCTACTCTTTAATGCTTATCATGAAATAATCATGAAAATGGTATTAGATAACTGGGATGGAGGCATCTCCATCGGGTAGCCGTAAACTTAAAATCCTCATTTACGCTGACAATAAATTTATTACAGCATCTAGTGAACAAGAATTTGAGTATATTAAGAAACGTTTTAAAACTGAAAGCAGGAAATGTAGATTGCTGATTTATGGAAGTAAAACGAGTTATGATAATTAATCGTTCCTTAACACAGATTTAAAAAATGGCAGTCTATAAGGCGGTGAATAAATCTGTTTACCTTGGATCACTTCTTACCAATAAACGAGAATGCGACGATGAAATTAATCACAAAATTTGCCTCGCTAGCAGTGCAACCTCTAAATTATTTAGAATTTGGAAAGATTTCGCAATCACTACATTTAATAAACTAAAGCTCATAAGAACGCTTATTTTTCCGGTTGCCAGCTTTGTAGAGCCGAAACTAAGGTATGGCCAATACGTCCCTGCCATATATGCCGATTTAATAAAGGGGCCAATGAGAAGATTTAGGAATAATATGTATTCGAAATTAGTATCACAAAAATCTTTTATATTTATAGTTATATAGTATTTAAATGGAATTAAATAATTTTTTATAATAACATGTTTTTAGAATAAAATTATTTTTTTAATAATAAAAATTAAAAAGGTGCCATTTTTATTCTTGGCCATGGGCGTCCAAAATCCTAGTTACGGCTTATCACTTATGCCTCAGAAACATGGATCATAAATGACACTTCTCGGAAGAAACTTGATTCCTTTGAAACATGGACATATAGCAGAATGCTGAGAATCTCTTGGACAGAACACCGAACAAATTGCTCCATCCTAAATTAACTAAAAATCACAACACGCCTTACCACTAAAATATATAAATTTTACATTTCTTCTTGGAACATATTTCTAAATAAGAAATTAATTTGAGAAACAAATTCTAGAAGAAAGGAAGACCAATGGTAAACGCCGTAGAAGCTGATATCAGATTAGGTAGGCAGATCGAGTAATAATAATTACAGGACATACAATGTACAAAGCCATCCATATGGCCCAACACCGGGAGCAGTAGAAAAACACAATTGAAGCCGTCAATTCGTAATATCACCACGCCCTTCGAAGGGCATAAGACTAAGAATAAGAGTGAGACTTCCGAAATTTGGACATTTGTTTTGTATTTCCGTACATCCTGCTAAATATTGTAATCCCTCACTTTTTAATTCATGTAATAAATTTTATTTTACATCTTTCTCGTATAGCTCACATAAATCAATACCATTTACATTTACCCTGCATGAATTTTCAGATATTCCTTGTTCTTTAGAACTAGACATATCTGAACCCCCTCGCAGTAAATTTGGCTCTTCAAGCATTTCATTTATTGCCTAACTACTCGCTCAGGGAGTTGGTTTGAGATAGTATGGTAGTTGGAATAACAGGATAAACTTTAAAGTATATGAGGTAGAATATGTTTTCAATAAAATTTTTTAAACTATTTACAGTACTTGTTTATAAACGATATTTTTCATTTTGTTATCCTAGGTATAGGCTATATGTAGAAATATTTCGAATTTCCTACTCGAAAGCAAGCTATGTTTAGTTGACAATGAGAGAAACAGGAGTCTTTGAGGTTGATGCCGCAATGTTTTAAAGTGTCCTTGCGCTTTGTTAATTGTTAAACTATCGGCTGATTGATTAGAAATTGCTGTCTTTTAAATTGGAATGGCAGTTTAGTAGAAATAAGTGGTATTTTGGGGATAAATACTGTGTGTCCTTTCTCCCTTCAAGTCATAAGTTCGGCTTAGATGCAGTGTTGCAGCAATGAAATTTCAAAACGTACTGAAGCGCTTTAAAAAAATGTACTATTTTCTTTTAAAATGTACTAGTTCTATGAATACTTTGTTTACGTGCCCATATATATATATTTATATAGGCACGTAATTTATATATATATATATATGTATATATATTAAACTTAAAAATATATCTACACATCTATTACTTATTATAAAATGAGCATTACATTGACAACATTTATTAATAATACTATTAAATTTCATCTTAATTTTATAACCAATCGTGCTTTAAAAAATAATTATAAATTTGTTATATTATATTATTTTAT